GGAAGGGGACCACGAGCCATAAAACACCTGGTTTGGACGTATATCTTGTGTAATATTTTGGCTTCATTGGTAAATTAGGTCGTTTAATGTGACTGCCTTGGTTCATTTTAAATGTTTTTCCGCTTCGTTTAAAACGTTTTGCCGCCCTTCAGCAACGTGCCGCCCAAGATCCAATGGGTAGTTACGCCACTGCCCTAGACCCATTAGCTCTGAATGACCTTTTTATCTCTGATATCATCGACGACGACCAGGGCGAAATAGCCTCAGGTCTATGCGATTGTCAATATATAAGTACAAACGATATTGAAGAGATTTGTCCAAGCTCAAAGCGAAATGGTCATCTTTCCACAATGTGCGCAAACATGCGTTCACTTGCAAACCCAAAAATTTTTGCCAAACTGGAAGTTTTGTTAGGCGGGCGCGTACTCTTACGTTTTTTAACTTTATTTTAAGTTATGCTCGCCTTCCAGGTATCTCTGCATTTTGTTTGTTTGTCCAGTTTTTGTGTTGTTTTGTTTTCATGTCAGAGTACCGAAATAAATGATTGATTGAATCAATGACTAGTCGACCCGATATAATTGCGGCTAACGAAACTTGGCTTAGACCCGACCAAGTTGGCGCACATATAAATTTACGTGATTACAGATTCATTTCAAATGAAGGAAGCAGCCATAAATATCTCCGTTTGACTAACTATGTCATCGTGGATGCAACCAACTCCCATTGCTCAGGTAGCAAGTCTCGGGCAACCCACTGATCTATTGTCTTTAGTTTCTGCATATTTTTATGGTTTATTAGCTTTGTACAGTTACTTCGTTGGATCATCGCTAATGAAAAGATCATCTTAGACATATTTAAATTTATTATGCTGAGACGTGTTGACAATAAATTCCACAAAATAGCACCTACGAAATTGACCTGCATTTTATGCCAGACTCTATTGTTCTCATTTCTTTTGTCGCATACAACTTCTGATTAACAACTGTGTGAAAGAATTTTTACATATGTCGTTTCTTGTTTACCTTCTTAGAACCTAATCTTTTTGTGTCGTGGTCCGACCCAACGTTGGTATGTCTCGAACAAATTTTTACTTGTTTCGTACAATCTTTTGTAAAAAACACAAAAATGCGATTTATACCCTATTCCCATCCCTTCACATCAGAACCTGGGACATGAACGTGCCATAAACTGCCTATTGTACATATCATCGTGGTGCCGGACCTCTTTGTCCTGTGTATTGTATTTGTACAAGAGTTTTATTTGTATATGTCATGTCTGTTGTCCTACTATAACGCAGCAGTCCTAAACTGCAGTTATACTTGTTGGGGTGCATGTCCACATCTGTGTCTTAGGCCAGTAACGTCTTGCACATGTACCCCGTCTCTTTTATACCGTTTAACTATTATGCAGATACTGTTACATTTTTGAGGCAAATAAACATACATACTTGCATTGCCTATTTGTTTTAGTGTTACGGAATATCGAAATAAACTTTACTAACCGTGCGTTGCGTCTATATTACAGTATTATGTTTGTTACCGAGCGTCGTGGGTTGTTAATGTATGTGCCCCGTACTGGGTTCGATACTGATTGAGACGTCCTATCGTATTTCAGCGCCCTCGGAATATAACTACTGATTTAAATCTGCCCCAATAGCCTTTTAAAACTACAAAAATTAGGCTTGTTTGCGTTACACTACTCGAGTCGAATGATCGGAAATGGAGTCCATATGACGCCATAATGGGACAAGTTAGTTCTACGGGGTTCGCTAAACCTACTAGAAGTTATTGAGGTACGAAACTTCTCCCGTAGCGTACTCGTAGGAGTAACTATTGTCGCTACCGGTATTATTGGGCAGGCTCTATTTCGTGATTGTGACGATGCAGTGACGTAATTTTTGGATGGCGAAGTTAGCTGTAGGCCGGCGGATGAATCGCATTTTGTACTGCTCGGTCTTGAGTTGAGTTAAAAATTTTAAGTAAGCTATTAACCACTTGTATATTCTTACCATAGATAGTAATTTTAGTTGAGCACTAGCTCATATATCGTTGTTAAATAGGTACGAGGAACTTTATCAGAAGTCGCTGCGAACTAGGTTGTATGCAGCCCCGAAATCGCAAAAACAATGGTAAGACACGAAGTCACCGCCACACACAATACGGTATCTAAAGTCTTCATACTTAGGTTTCCCGCAATGCTTCTTGCAAAATTCTTGTATTTTGTGGTAATATTGTGGCCACTAATTGCAGCAGCAGTGAGCATAGCTCTTACCCTTCGACATTAGCAAATCCCTTTTCATATTCAAAACGGAACTCGCTTAGTCATTGTCTAAATTGTGGTTTGTCCCTAAAAACAGTATCCTTAAAAGCAGCAACTATTGTAAGTTTGTAACTGTGTCACAGTTTGCCTGGAAATACCGCAAACCCCTACCGTTAACAGAAACAGTTCGCGCTGGGAGTGAGCGGGTCCGAGACATGAGGTCACGGTGGAACGTAGCTAATTGATACGTCACAATAATAAAACAACGAATCGCGATAATAATAAACACAGCCCTCGTTTCCACGGGAGCTCTGTACGCAAAACAAGAACGAGTCATCCATGTTTCTAAGACAAAATAAGCACGTAACTCAAAAATAAGCACTTCGCTTAGAAATAAGCACATCGTTACTTTATAAGACACGGACTAGAAAATAAGCACATAAGCACGATATGGTAACCCTACATATGCCCCAAACAACGAAACGGTATTTTCATGCTTGTATGAATGGTTTATGATTAATTTATTGACGATTCTTGAGTATTCAGCAGACTTATACTACTATATATGCTACAGCATATTTGATTGAGAAAATAATGACCTTTTGTGTAATGCACGTTTGTGAGAAAGAGAAACCAATTTTACTAAAGTCAGTTTGTCTAAATTCATAAAATGGACAAGTACGGTACCTGGGCAGAAATGATATTGATAAGTCATGCAGTAGTTTAAAGAAATGAAGCGACTGAGAGGTGAGAAATCATGTATCAAGTTGTCGGCTGACATTTGATGTTTTAAAATATACAGGGCATTTCACACTGTGTGATTCATCGAGATCAGTGTAGATATAGTTTATTATGCAAACTGCAGTGTGTGGACTGTGGTACATCAGATAGGATAGGATTTACATATTTATCCCGTTGGAGAGGAAAACCGATAAGACGGCTTATACACATGGCGAACCACGGCCTCTCGTCCGGTTACCATTACAAGTCGGGTATGGGATTAGTTATATTGTTTGTTTTCGGAAGCATGGACTTGGTGGTGGAGGAAGCCGTAATCGACCAGCGGTTACGTGAACCACCCAACGACGGCGAGGAGTCCAGCAATCCTCTCGCACATAACCACCCCTGCATGGAATTCGAACCTGCGAACCCACGCAGAGTAATTAGAGGTGCGGTGGCGAGCGTATTCCTAACGCTTAGCCCGTTGAGATCTAAGTGTTCAATCCTAAAAAAATATATAAAGAAAGCTATAGTGATGAATCAAAGGCAAATTTAGCAAAATTATATGCAGATGTATACCACAATAAAAAGCAAGTTAAAATCATAAAATATCAAATGATATGATACAAGTTAAAATCATAAAATCTCAAAATATTTACAAAAACTGCAATTTCAGTGCACCAAAGGTAAATCTTCTAAAACCAGTAAATTTAAAATATATGATTTAAAAACAACATATTCAAACAAAAATAATTTGGCATTTTTCGACGAGAAATGATGCTTAAAAAACGAAAATCTCATACTTTCCATAATTCCTGAAAAAGAGAATCTTGGTAATCACTGATAGAAGCAACAAGGCAGATTTTTTAAACAAATCTACTTATGGCACGATCACAAGCACTCACTCAGAAGTTGAGAGAGATCATTCTATGAACAACACTAACGGAAACAAGTGAAATGCTAACAGATACTGGAACTAAATAGATTTATGGTGGTGCACTCACTCAGAAGTTGACTAATCTCTGAATAAAGGTGAGGGCAACTGCTGAAATTCTAAGAGCTTCTGAAAAATATATAATATTGTAGTGGTGCATTACGAGCGCTGTTTCAGAAATTAAGGAGACCCATTATAGAGCTAAGATCTGAAGCTTGAGCCCGACCTGAAATACTCATTTGAAAAACGTCATTTTTTAAGTAAAATACAATCTTACAGTATGAAAAAAATAAGTGCTGAGCTTGGTTGAACATGATAAAAATTTAGAATATATGTACAGGAATAAATATTCAGCTTCGGCTACTTCAACCAATTTCTTTCTTAATCCGAGCTGATTTCACCTCACCAGTTTTTACCAAGATCCAGAGTATAGCTTAAATATATTTATAAAAGAAATTATGTTTTTATTCTATGTTTACTATTGCACTAGGAAATAAAATTTGTATATTCAAGTGGAAACATAGACAGCATATAAGTTTAGACAGTATAACTGTGGTCATGTCAATGAAATTGTGTTTGAAATAACAAAAAAATTATGACCGCAATATGTGTTTTTACCAAAAAAAACAAAACATGATGTTTTAGTAAAGTAGTAAGCGATGATTTTTAAAAGGAATTCTTTAAGAGTAAAACCATGCACTCACTGAACCGCCAAAATCTCCTCAGAACTTCAAAGAATGATAGCGGGAGAATTGCATGTTAGTTAATGTCAGGTGTGTGCAACCTTAGGGCATTGTAACATAATAGATAATAAATTGGACTCGGGTATAGGCTTTGCAACGCAAAGGAGATTTACTCACCTTAATAAATTCAACTAAATTAACACTCATGTCGTGGGCCGCAACTTCAAAACTTTGGGCCACATTTGGCCTGCGGTCCGCAGGTTACACACCCCTTTTTTATGTCAATACTCAATACACTAAGTTGCTAGCACAAACTTTTTTAGTTGTCATTTGAAAACGTGAAAGTATTTCAATTTGGCAGCTGTGTTGTTTGCGTATTTACAAAAAGCAACTGGGGGGGGGGCGGGGGGGGTGAAATAACTTCAGCTTAATTAACTTTGAGCTTCTTGTTCATTTGCTGGTTTGATGTCTGTGGGTACGGAGGAATTCCCACTTCTGGCCGAGGAGACGTTTGTGCACCAGGGTTATATGGAGTTCCTGGCACATATTCTTGAGCAGGTATCATAATGAATTGGCCGTTTGCGAGCTGAACCATTTGTTGTTGCGGATAAGCAGGGTAAGTTGCCTTTAGAACCACGCATTGCGATTTTTTGCGGCAACAAACACCAGCGCGGTAGTATGAAGAATGAAGAATACAAATAATCATTCCAGCAAATCCAATGGCAGCCAAAATACAATGAACAGCAATGATGCCTCCATTATCTTCACGTGGGTAAGTGTCTCCAGCACATATCACAGACAATATCCACAACATAGCCATGAAGCAAGAAGCTACAATGCTGACAATCATGTTCGCATTATAAAGACAGGCAGATGGTTTTCTACTAGCTTCAAATCCAAGCATTCCAGATGCAATAACAACAGCACCGCACCATATTCCGTGAGAAACGAACGTAATGCTGTAGCCTATTTTGCGAACGTACGTTCTACCGAGGTCATTATCGTGATAGACGTAAGTCGTCTTTGTGCTTGCGATGATCAATGTAAAGATGCACAAAATGACAGATAAAACGCCAAGAACAATTTCAGTAACTCCAAGTTGATACAACACAAGTTTGTATTTTGCTCTGAACTTCTTCCGAGGGGTTGATGTAGTCGTTGCATGCTGGGGTGGCGAAGTAACCTGACCCTGTTGAGGGCTTGCTGTCCCACCCTCTGGTTCAACAGCTTGATCAAGCCTTGAATATATGCCAGCTGGAGATTGAGCCATAATGCAACAAAATAAATTAGTATCTTATATAAATATCGCACTATAAATTTTGAACACAAAGAAATAAAAGTTTGTTAGTCCAGAACAATCCAAATATTAAAATAGTTTGAAACTGGGTATTTTGGTATATAGGGTTAGTCTTGAAATTTATTAAAATTACAAAGGAGATTTTATGATACCACATAGTGTTTTGTCCCTCACAGACGTATCAAATGAAGTGAAAATACTGATTAAAAAAACAAATCTGGTTTAGATATATATATTGAGAACTGACTTCATAACAAAATTAAAAATTGTAAACTTTATGAATACCCTGTACTGAAGCACTCCAAAGTCTCTTTTCATAGCTCGGTCACAATATTTTTTTGTTTTGAGTCTGATGCTAGCAATCGATCCATTTTTAAGTAGTTTATATCAACCCTTTTTTATATGGTTGCAAGTCAAAAACATAATTCGGAGAAGGCAAAAATGTTTTGGTATAAGAGCCGCATACATCAAGTCAGAAATATGTGGGAACTGCATAATTTTAAAAATTATCAATATTAGACTTATTAAATCATTTTGCAGTACAACTGTTACATTGATACCAGTTTGGGGAACGCGAAAAAGGGTTTTGGGCTATTGACTACGACAATATTTGCAATTTTCCTTATGACAGAATACAGTCAGAGTAATATTTAACACGATCAATATTACATACTATAACAAAACGCCACACCAATTTTCTTACTAAAACATAGTTTGTCTTAATCAATGAAAATTTATTGCACTGCTTAATCAATTGAAAAAGTACACTACAGTTTCTGTAATTTAAATTTGGATAATAGATAATGCTAGCGAGAAGTCGCATAAAAACTCTGGGGAGCCACAGTTTGCCCACCGTTGACATAATCTAAGTGTTCAATCGTAAAAAATAATAAAGAAAGCTATGATGATGAATCAAAGGCAAATTTGGCAAAGGATGGATGTACACAATATGATACAAGTTAAAATCATAAAATTTACAAAAAGTGCAAGAGAGGTAAATGATTTATAAAAACCTATTCAAACAGAAAAATTTGGCATTTTTCGACAAATATGATTTTAAAAAAACAAAAATCTTATACTTTCTATAATTCATGAAAAAGAGGGTCTTGGTAATCACTGATAGAGGCAACAATGGCATGGCAGCAAATCGTACAAATGCGTAACGGATCACAAAATATCTCAATACAGAAGTTGGAGGATCCATTCTTATCTAATGAACAGACGATTAACGACATACAAGTGAAAATGATAGACAGATATTTGAAACTTAATAATGATCTTCATGGGTGCGCACTCACTCAGAAATTGACTATCTCCGAATAAAGGTGTGATGGCAACTCGCTGAAAATTTCAAGAGCATGCTGAAAATATAGAATATTGTTAGTGTGTTCATTGACGAGCCGCTTGTATTCAGAAGTCTAAGGTATGAGCCCATTACCATGCACTGTAAAACTGAAATAGTAATTGGTGGAGAGTGCTTTTATTATCTTCGCTTTGAAAAAACGTTATTTTTATGTAAAATATATTCTACAGGTATGAATAAATATTGCTGAAATTTGTTGTTGGTGTGGGGGTGAAATAACCTCAGCTTAATAACTTTGAGCTTCTTGTTCATTTGCTGGTTTGATGTCTGTGGGTACGGAGGAATTCCCACTTCTGGCTGAGGAGGCGTTTGTGCACCTGGGTTATACGAAGTTCCTGGCACATATTCTTGAGCAGGTATCATAATGAATTGGCCGTTTGCGAGCTGAACCATTTGTTGTTGGGGTAAAACAACCAAACCTTGCGGTTTCTTGCGACAACGAACACCACCACTGCCGCAGTAGGAAGAATGAATAATACAAATAATCATTCCGGCAAATCCAATGCCAGCCAAAATACAATGAATACCAATGATGCCCCCATTATCTCCACGTGGGTAAGTGTCTCTGGCACATATCACAGACAATATACACAATGTAGCCATGAAGCAAGAAGCTACAATACTGACAATCATGTTCGCATTATATAGACAAACGGAAGGTGTTCCTCTAGCTTTGAATCCAAGAATACCAGATGCAATAACAATAGCACCGCACCATATTCCGTGAGAAGCGAACGTAGTATCGCTGTACATTATTCTGCGAACGTTCCTGTTGCCGTAAAAATCGTGATGGACGTAAGTTTTCTTTGTGTTAGCTATGATCAATGTAACAATGCACAAAACGACAGATAAAACGCCAAGAATAATTTCAGTAACTCCAAGTTGATACAACACAAGCTTGTATTTTGCTCTGAGCTTCTTTCGAGGAGTTGACGCAGTCGTTGCCTGATGAGGTGGCGAAGTAACCTGGCCTTGTTGGGGGCTTGCTGTCCCACCCTCTGGTTCAACAGCTTGATCAAGCCTTGAATATAAACCAGCTGGAGATTGAGCCATAATGCAGCAAATTAAAGCAGTATCTCTCTTAAATATAATACTATAAACTTTGAACACAAAGAAATAAAATTTAGTGTTGCTTTTAAGCAAGTGATGGGATTCGTTATTACATTAGTTTCAAGAATAGATTTTTCATATTATTCTGGTGAGAGAAAAGACAATGGCTTAACAATATAAGGCCTCTTGTTCAGTTATCAGTCCTTGTCAGATATGGGATTAGTTTCGACGCATGGACTTGATAAATGAAAATCAGAAGTGTGGTCCTAACTCTGAAGCCTTATTTGGTATTGCACAACCCAGGCTTGCAAGATTAAATATGAAAATAAGCTACATTCTGGCAATCTTGAATTTTTCATCTGAATACACAGATATGGATTATGTGATGCATGAGCATATTCTGGCGTTGATTTTTGATGAAGAAATGGACATTTGTTTCCAATTAGTTTTTATGATAAACTTCTACATTTATTCGGGGCATGCTAGTTATTGCTGTTCTCAACTCATAATGGTTACTCTTCTCATACCGCGGTAATTCTGACAAATTCCAGTTTTATCCAAGCTTCCATTCTCGAAAAAATTGCATGCAACCTGATTACAAAGTGAAACGCCTGAGTAATGACTGCCGTGAATATTCATGTTTATTTTGTTTGTGACTTGTTTTCTTTCTCCGGTAAGTGAACACGTTGAATAATACGTTTTAAACTTATTTTATTAGGTTTCGTTCACTTTCCCAATTCTTCGCCTTAATCTTTTGTGTATGGGTTATATGTTTATTTTGTTTTTACAAATGAATCAAAATAAAATCTTATCTTATGCAGTGATCGGCAAACTGCGGGACTTGACCCAATGAATTTCAATTATGACAGTGATACACAAAAAAATATGAATTTTTTGCCAAATGGTTTTTGTTTGTATATCAAATGATTACACATTACGTTATTTCAATTAAATAAATTAAATGTCCCTTGACAAGGACAATCAATGACAAATATTATGCCTGACTATTGACTGTGTTAAACTGACCAATACTTCCTTTTTTAGTTTAAAAAAAATGGGTTACTAAATTCAGAAATCTGTAATCACCAAATGCTGAAAAGAGCTTTTGAACTAATATTATTCTGTTATTCCGGCATTTTTTCCAGTAACAACTATTCAAGTTTAAAGCATGCCACTGGCAGACTGGACCAAAAACACAAACTGATGCAAAAACGCCCACTTTTTGACTTCATTGAACTGCTGAAACACAGCCTTAGGCTAAAACTTATTGCTGCCGACATGACGGATGTCTGACTAATCTTGAATTTATACCGATATATTGTTGATACACTCTGAATTTCATACTGAAAGCGGCAAGCATTTTAAGTATGGCGAAAGTATGTTTTATTCAAAAAACATGGTTTGAAAATATGTGAATGGAACGTAAATAATGAAATAAATGAAAACTTTAAAAACAAGCAAAATTTGCAGTTATTTTTGGCTGACAAAATAAGAAATGTAAATATCCGAAATAAGGCAGGCAAGATCAAGTCTGACAAGTATTTTTATTTAGCTTCACGCTCCCTTGACACAAAAATTGTCTACACCCTCTTTGCGGCCACTGGTCTGGAATATGTTCCAAATGACCACACGAAAATGCCTATCACAGCAAATGGTTGCAGAAGAAAATTAGTGCAAGCCAAATTTTTGGTTCAGAAACTTCTTTTTTAGTTGTAGTAATAAAATGGCGTTCCTGCACCACCATTTTTTTTGTGTTTCGACGAGTTGCATGTTTTAAACTTGAATAGTTGTAACTGGGAGAAATGTTGGCCACAATCATTGCAGCATATGTGATTCACCATCGCTAATTTATTTTAGTAACATTTTGTTGTGTTGTCTGACTCCCTCAGATAAGCATATTCCAATGGTGCGTTTGTAATAATGTACAGCAGGAGTTTGAATCTCTTAGAATAGGTATCTATATTCTTGATTACAATAGTCATAATATTGCTTGTTATTATGTTTAGGCTTACAAGCTAGATTTGCACGATGTAAAATTATTTATCAAAAAAATCATATTGGCGTTCCGGAAATGTGTGTACCAATATGGACGTAACTAATTTTGTTCGCCTATTTTACATCAAGTTGCGTAAAGAGTCTGAAATCTATGGGCAGAGGTATATTCACTTGGCCAACACAGACTGTCTGCGAACTCGTAATAGAACTAAAATAAGAAAAAAAAAAATGAAATCATGACCTAACTTTAACCTGGTACACATACTACGGGAGTACCATTTTATTAGCCATTCAGCAAACGAAGACAAAGAAATAAAAATGAGAAAAATAAAAAATATACATACATAAATACTCATGCTTTTTCTGGAATGGACAGTGTAACTGCGAACTAATTGGCTTACTAGTCAGGGGTTACCTCAGAACAGTGGTCTACAAAGATTTGTAAGTGAGGCCCAGATAGTAACATAGTAAAGGTTTCTATGCACAACAATTTTGTTGGTAATTTCAAATTTACTCACATAATAAACTTCTTAATGGACATTTAATTTGCTTAGTTTAAATGCCCACAGTTTGCAGACCACTGTATTAGAATGAATGCTTGTGTAAAAATTAAAACACAGAATTTGTCAGAATTACTAAATTGAGAAAAAATTAACCATTTTGAGGCGATAACAGCAATTATTAGTAACGTTCATCATGAACACTAATTTAAAATCAATTTATCATACCTTTTCTGTAATGGAAGCATAAATAGTACAATATTTACGAGAGATACTACTTTATTTTGTTGCACTATGGCTCAAGCTCCAGCTGGCTTATATTCAAGACTTGATCAAGCTGTTGAACCAGAGACTGGAACAACAAGCCCCCAACAGGGCCAGGTTATCTCGCCACCTCAGCAGGCAACAACCAAGTCGACCCATCGGAAGAAGCTGAGAGAAAAATACAAACTTGTTTTGTATCGACTTGGAGTTACTGAAATTGTTCTTGGCGTTTTATCTGTCGTTTTGTGCATCGTTACATTGATCATCGCAAGCACAAAGAAGACTTATGTCTATCACGAACGATGGACTAACAATACACAAGTTTCTAAGATCCATTATAGCATTACGTATGCTTCTCAGGGAATATGGTGCGGTGCTATTGTTATTGCATCTGGAATTCTTGGATTCAAAGTTAGAGGAAAACCTTTCGTCTGTCTTTATATTGCGAACATGATTGTCAGTATTGTAGCTTCTTGCTTCATGGCTACGTTGTGTATAATGTCTGTGATATGTGCTGGAGACATTCACCCACGTGAAGGAAATGGAGGCATCATTGCTGTTCATTGTATTTTGGCTAATATTGGATTTGCTGGAATGATTATTTGTATTATTCATATTGGATACTGCTGTACTAGTGTCTATTGCGGAAAGAAACTGCAAGGTGTGGTTGAATACGCAGCATACCCTGCTTACGTGCAACAACAAATGGTTCAGCTCACAAACGGCCAATTCATTATGATACCTGCTCAAAGATATGTGCCAGGAACTTCGTATAACCCTGGTGCACACACCCTGGTGCACATACGCCTGCTGGCTTCAAACCAGCAAATGAAAAATAAGATCAAAGTTATTTAAGCTGAGTTTTTTTACACACCCCCCCCCCCCCCGAAGAAAAACATTTTCTACTCTTAAATATGAATATTCAAACCAGCAGCTAAAGCTTTGCTTGTTGTAAATACACAAACAACACAGCTGTCAAATTAAAAGACTTTCAAGTTTTCAATTGACAACTAAAAAAGTTTGTGCTAGCAACTCTGAGTGTATTGAGTATTGACATAAACCAGGGGCCCGCGGGCCAAATGTGGCCCACAAGTTTGAAGTATCAGCCCAGGAGATGAGTGTTAATTTAGTTGAATTTATTAAGGTGAGTAAAACTCCTTTGCGTTGCAAAGCCTATACCTGAGTTCCATTTGTTATCTATCATGTTACAATGGCCTAAGGTTGCACACACCTGACATTAACTAACATGCAATTCTCCGCTATCATTCCTTGAAGTCTAAGGAGATTTTGACGGTTCAGTGAGTGCATGTTTTACTCTGAAAGAATTCCTTTTAAAAATCATCGCTTACTACTTTACTAAACATTCATATTTTATTTTGCTTTTTTGTAAAAACATATATTGCGTTATAAGTTCATTGGTTGTTCCAAATACAATTTCATGACATGACCACAGTTATACTATCTAAACTTATATTGTTGTCTGTTACGCTTGAATACACAAATTTTATTTTCTTAGTGCAATAGTAAACATAAAATAAAAACGTAATTTCTTTTACGAATATATTTAAGCTTTACTCTGAGTCTTGGTAAAAACTGGTGAGGTGAAATCAGCTCAGATTAAGAAAAAATTAATTGGGTTGAAGTAGCGGTAGCCGAAGCTGAATATTCTTTTCTGTACATAAATTCCCAATTATTATCATGTTCAACCAAATTTCACCACGTATATTTTCATACTATAAGACTGTATTTTACTTGAAAAATGATGTTTTTCAAATGAGTTCTGTAGTATATGAAGCACCTCCATAATGCTATTTAGTTTCAGTGACTTTTCACAGGTAATGGGTTAGAGGTAAGATCGGGCCCAAAAAATCCACCCCTACTCGTCCCAGGCGGGTGGGTATTGAATCCGACCAAGCCTGACTCATTAAATGTATTTGCAGGCCCGAAGCAATCCCAAAATTTGATATTTTATTTAGTCCATTGAATTGTCATTGCAAAAGTTTAGTACAGTATGTGTCACTTTGATGAGACAACTTCTGTTTTTTCTCTGCAGAAAAGGTCTCTCGTGGCCAAAAAACGACCGAAACAGCTCATTAAAAAAAGTCAGTGATAGAGAAGCCCGGCCTAACGTAATGATTGATATTTCAGGCCCAACCCGGTCGGGGCTGGGCTTCAGATCTTAGCTCTATAATGGGTCTCCTTAACTTCTGATACAGCGCTCGTAATGCACCACTACAATTTTATATAATTTTTAATGGTTTTTGACATTTCAGTTGCCCTCACCTTTATTCAGAGATTAGTCAATTTCTGAGTGAGTGCTTGTGATCGTGCCATAAGTAGATTTGTTTAAAAAATCTGCCTTGTTGCCTCTATCAGTGATTACCAAGACCCTCTTTTTCAGGGATTATAGAAAGTATGGGATTTTTGTTTTTCAAGTATCATTTCATTTCCAAAAATGCCAAATTATTTCTGTTACAATATGTTTTTATTAAATCATATATTGATTTACCTCTGTTGCACTGAAATTGCACTTTTTGTAAATTTTATGAAAAATATTTAGAGATTTTATGACTTTAACTTGTACCATCATATTGTGGTTTACATCCAGCCTTTGCTAAATTTGCTTTTGATTCATCACCATAGCTTTCTTTATATATTTTTAGGTTTCAATCAAAACTCTAGATTATGTTTTTGACTTGCAACCATATCAAAAAGAGTTCAAGTAAATTGATTACTGGCATTAGACTCAAAACAAAAAAATTGTTACTGAGCTATACAAAAAGACTTTGGAGTGCTTCAGTACAGGGTGTCCATAAAGTTTACAATTTTAAGTTTATTAGGTCAGTTCTCAATATATCTTAACCAGATTTGTTTTTTCAATCAGTAATTGTTCAAGTATTTTTACTTCATTCAATACATCTGTGAGGGCCAAAACACTATGTGGTATAATCAAATCTTCTTTGTAATTTTAATAAATTTCAAGACTAATCCTATATACCAAAATACCCAGTTTCAAATTATTTAAATATTTGGATTGCTTTGGACTAACCAACTTTCATTTCTTTGTGTTCAAAGCTCATAGTAAAATAATTACAAGAGATACTGCTTTATTTTGTTGCATTATGGCTCAATCTCCAGCTGGCTCATATTCAATGCTTGATGAAGCTGTTGAACCAGAGGGTGGGACAGCAAGCCCCCAACAGGGTCAGGTTACTTTGCCACCCCAGCAGGCAACGACTACATCAACCCCTCAGACGAAGCCGAGAGAAAAATACAAACTTGTTTTGTATCGACTTGGAGTTACTGAAATTGTTCTTGGCCTTTTATCTGTAGTTTTGTGCATCGTTACATTGCTCATTGCAAGCACAAAGAAGACTTTCGCCTATCATAGCTCTAGGAATAACATAACATGTTATTACTGGTATACTATCAACTACAGCATGGCGTATGCGTCTCACGGAATATGGTGCGGTGCTATCGTAATTGCATCTGGAATTCTTGGATTCAAAGTTAGAAGAAAACCTTCAATCTGTTTATATAATGCGAATATGGCAGTCAGTATTGTAACTTCTTGCTTCATGGCTACGTTGTGTATAATGTCTGCGATATGTGCTGGAGACACTTACCCACGTGAAGGAAATGGAGGAATCATTGCCGTTCATTCTATTATGGCTGTCATTGGATTTGCCGGAATGATTATTTGTATTATTCATTCTGCATATTGTTGCACTGGTGTCTGTTGCCGCAAAAAACCACAAGGCGTGGTTGTATACGCAGCTCACCCTGCTTATTCGCAACAACGAATGGTTCAGCTTGCAAACGGCCAATTCATTATGATACCTGCTCAAGGATATGCCCCGGGAACTTCATATTACCCCGGTGCACAAATGCCTCCTCAACCAGGAGTGGCCGTTCCTCCCTACCCACAGACACCAAACTCTCAAATGACAAAAGAACAAGAAGCTCAAGCAAACCAGAACCAACTCTTGCATGCATAAGAGATTCGAAAATTTTTCAACATTTTATCTCAAAGCCGTAAAGCTGAAGTTATTTCAGATTATGTGATGTTTTAAAAATCATCGCGTGCTACTTTACTAAACATTCATTTATTTGTTTTTTGTAAAAACACATATTGCGTTTTAATTTTATTTGTTTATCTCAAACACAATTTCATGACATCACCACAGTTATACTGACTAAATTTATATTGCTGTCTCTGTTCCACTTGAATACATAAATTTTATTTTTTAGTGCAATAGTAAATACAAAGTATAAATTTATTTTAGCTGTAATCTGGGTCTTGGTAAAAAATGGTGGAGGGAAAGTGAGAAACAAGGAGGATTATCTAATAAAGCAGGGGTTCCCAAGCTTTTTTCGGGTAGCCTCCAAGAACAACTTTCAAGTGTCCAGTGCGACCCCAGGTCAATGTATATATATTCCATGAAACTTTAAAGCTTCTTCCACTGGACTTTTGAGTTTGGTCATGTGGTGGCGTTAGGTAAAATAAGCTAAAACGAAACAGTGATGTCATAATAAGCACCTACATTTGCTATAGCATAAGCAAGAGCAATGTCTATCGGCCTGTTTCACAGTAAGCCATGGTACAAACTGCTGAATATAACATGGTTTGTTAAATCTGGGATGTTTTGTACATCTATCCTCTACCATACCTCAGCGACCCCACCTACCCCCATGACCTGTTTGCGACCCTACCTACTTATCACTCTGACCCAATTTGGGGTTGTGACCCCAGGTTTGGGAACTCCTGTAATAAAGAATAATTGTCAGAATTGATCTTGCCCCCCGCCCCCCCCTCTTTTTGGATATTCACTTTTTTTTTATTTTGGATATTTACGTTCTATCCACGGTTTTCAACATGCTTTTTGAATAAAACATACTTTCGCTCTGTTTGTAGTTTTATTTGTAGTTATTTTTCAGGCTGGTCCGAGGATTGGTAAATTCTAAAAAGGGGCGTTGCTTAAAAAGTTTGAGAACCGATGTCTGAACAATGCCAAATTATTTCTGTTTGAATATGTTGTTTTTTCAAAATCATATATTTGAAATTTACTGATTTCACAAGATTTATCTTTATTGAAGTGAAATTGCAATTTTTGTAAACCTATGTGTTTTGTTATTTTATGATTTTTAACTTGCTTTTTATTGTGGTGTACATCTGAATATACTTTTTCTAAGTTTGCCTTTGATTCGTCACCATAGCTTAATGGGTTCAGATAAAAATTTGGAATTGCCGTCATATTGTTTTTTAACATATGACTTTTTTGGTGACCGTAGGGTTAGTATGGGTTTAACTATCCGTGAAACAAAAAAAATTCCATAGGTGCAATAGCATACAGGTGCAATTGTCATGGGTTCAAATGTACATGGGTTCAAATGTAATGGAACCGACTTTTTTCTTTGTTGTGAGATAATGATGAAACATGTTTCTTGTTGTGTTGTGTGACTGAACAAAAAAACCTTTGACTTCAGCGTACTTATTCATAAAACCGAGACTCTAGTTCAGGGGGTCCATAAAGTTCCTCCACAATTTCAATTTTGTTATGATGTCAGTTCTCAATATATCTTAACGTAACGAAATATATCTTGTTGTTTTTCAATCAGTAATTGTTTAAGTATTTTTACTTCATTTAATACATGTGTGAGTGCCAAAACAATATATGGTATCGATAAATTCTCTTTGGAATTCTTGAAAATTTCAAGACTTCATAGACACCCTATATATTAAAAATAACCAATTTCAAATTTATTTGGATCGGGATGGATATCCTCTGTTCGAAGATTTTTAAACAAATAATTTGCTAATCATGGGATTGTTGATGACTCTGATATCGGCATGATAATA